ATATTGCCCCCCCCCCCCCCCCCGTATAGAAATCCTTTCCATTGTTTCAGACACGGTGGCTTGGGATGATGGAAGCTGTAGTCCAAAATACAAGTTAGAGACAGATAGTTAACTGTGAATTAGACTCTAAAAGTGAGTTCCATTGGTCCAAGCTGACGTGGGGTTGGGTTTTTGTTGGTCAGCCAATTACCAAGTCACTGGCACTAGACCATCTCCATTAATCCATAATTTTATTTACTTATTTGGGCATAGCATGTTATAGAACTTGCGTTTAGATAAACCAAATGTTAGAAAATAGTGCACTGTGAGAACCCAGACTCAATTAACAATCCACATCTGCCAGCTTTACTTAAGCGGATATCTATTATTCACAGCCACTGATAAGGTCAGGATACTGGAGAGGGAATAGTCCCATCTCTATCAGCCCGCATTAATTATGTCCCCGTTTACATACAACGCTCTCCATGCAACTTCCACGTTGGCTTTTTCTATACGATAACTGGCACTCGCTTTTCTTATTGGCATTGAGTACATGAGAAGGGGGGGGGGGGAGAGACATCTACATTATCTGTTCCCTGTGCTGGTTAATGGCCGCAATAAAGTTATCTATTATCTGTTCCTTGAACCAGTCAATGTCGGGTAAAGAACGCAATTCTAGCCACTGCGCTGGGAAAAAAAATGTGCAAAGGTTTCCGTAGTTTTCTATGGAATAGGTTTCTATTGCATCGCTCCGTAGGAAGGAACGTCCAGTTAAGCTGCTTGCCAGTTCTGGAGGCAACTTAACTCAGGCTTTAAGGTGCCCAAGATGCCATTGATTTCAATGAAGGGGATGGAGAAAACCTGCACAATTCTCGGACTTGGCCTCGGGAAAATTGGCTCTAATTTCCAGCTCGGTTCGGAAGGCAGAAACCGGTTTCGTGCTAACGAAGTGTGAGTAGAGCTTAGTTTTACCTCCAGTTCAGGCATGGGATCCTTCAGCCATCCCAAAGTAGGGCAATAATTTATTTATGGTGTTTTTTTTTTCCTATTACGGCTTGCGCGACCCACCATGCCCGCAATCGCCCCTAATGGCGTTAATTCGGTTTATAGAAAAAGCCGCAACTTTCTTGGAAGGAGTCAGATCAAGGGGTTTCTGCGAATCATATACACCCAGATAAATATCTTAGGTTTCCTCGGATTTCTCAAAGGAACAGAGACCTCAGAGGGAGGATGAACGGGGCTCCCGACTTGTAGATTCAGGTTTCTTGAAGGTTTAACCCCACGCAGAACCTCTTTAGGGCTCCACTGGCGAGGAGAACATCCTTGCTGGCTCAGCTTCCCTTTTATTTCCCCTGCATAAACCTTGAGATAAAATCTTGCGATTCTCGCAAGAGAATCGGCCGGGGACAGAAACCCGGCCCAGGTGTAGACTTCAGAGCAGGTTCGCTTGCGCCAAAGCTGGAGGCCGGCTTCTCTGGGAATATCTTGCTTCCGTGAATTTTTGACAAACTCTCGTCGGGACACAAAGCAGACACGTGGCGCCGTGTGTGGTCGGCCTCGCCGTCGCCACTGGGCCAGGGCTACAAACTCAGAACGGCTGCATCTCTAAAAGACCAGGACTGAATTCTGCACTAACAGCTGTGGGGGGGTCTCTCTCTCTCTCTCTCTCTCTCTCTCTCTCTCTCTCTCTCTCTCTCTCTCTCCCCCCGACCCTCCGCCCGCCTCCCTGTTGGAACAGTTTGGAATCTCACCACAGCACTCACAAAGATCTGCGCAGTACAAAAGAGTACGCGGGATCAAGAAAAATAGCCTTATGCAAAATGTAGACTTTTAACTAGTCACCACATTCTTCTTCTTCTTCTTCTTCTTCTTCTTCTTCTTCTTCTTCTTCTTCTTCTTCTTCTTCTTCTTCTTCTTCTTCTTCTTCTTCTTCTTCTTCTTCTTCTTCTTCTTCTTCTTCTTCTTCTTCTTCTTCTTCCTCTTCCTCTTCCTCTTCCTCTTCCTCCTCCTCCTCCTCCTCCTCCTCCTCCTCCTCCTCATTATTATTATTATTATTATTATTATTATTATTATTATTATTATTATTATTATTATTATTATTATTATTATTAAAAACCCACAAATCAGGTAACCTCCGTCCTGGGTACATACGATGCTGAAAATTATCCCCAACATTTAAGCAGCGGAGAGCACCGTTCTCAGACTGAAGGTCTAGCGCGGTCCTTTCAGATGTAATCCAGTCGATCAGATCTTGACGGCGCTTTGTTGGGAAAGCTGTCTGAATGTCAATATAAGGCCATCGATTGGTAGAAAGATTGGGAAGGCAGAACCAAGCCTCCCCCCCCACCACCCACCCACACCAATATTGCAAGGCAAAAAACCCGATGAGAGAATTTATACGCCGCGTTTCGTTCTACTTCCGAGGGGGCCGGATAGGAGTGGAGCGGACAGAAGGGGCGTTTGGAGCCTTCTCCGGCAGCTGCTGTTTGTCCGAGACTAAAAAGGCTGCCTGCCTCGGGGGGGGGGGGCACGTACTTCAGCTCCAGCTGAAGAGCCCCCGGGGGGACGGCTTTCTCCTCCGAACTGAAGCGCCTGCTTTCTCGCTCCCGTGTGAAGCTACAAGGGGAAATGAATGAGAAACGGCTCAGCCCAAGGCCTGGCCCGCTCCTCGCGGTCTGGGGGCGGCCAGATTTTTTTTTTATTTTTTAGCGAGGCTAGAAATTCAGCTCTGCTCTAGGCAGCGGGATTTGCATCTGGGCCATCTAAAGACACTGAGCCAAATCGCCAAGGTCGGAGATCAAACCAACAGCCCATCTAGAGCCAGTGTTTTTCAACCTTGGAAACTTTAAGATGGGTGGACTTCAACTCCCAGAATTCCCCAGCCAGCTTTGCTGGCTGGGGAATTCTGGGAGTTGAAGTCCACCCATCTTAAAGTTTCCAAGGTTGAAAAACACTGGTCTAGACTCTTTCTGATGGGCGACATTTCTGAAGAAGTCCCCCCATAGCACAGAAGAGGGAGTACCTTCCAATGGCTTTCAAGGGAATCTACTTCCAGCGCGCAGCTCCGACCTAAAATAATGTGCAAATAGGAATTTCGGGGGGATTTAAAAGTAATCCGCTTCACAAGTTGGGAGGCGGGGGGAGAGGCGAATTCCAACTCTCCTTGGCTATGATATTTTCAACACATATTGCTAGTCCAATATGCCATGCATGAAATAAATAAATTTCAACACATATATTTGCACGGTGCTTTCAAGGGGCGATGCCAATGCTGACTTGCTCGTTTGCATTCAGATACCCCGCTTATTATCCTTCTGCATCCTTTCCTGCACGGAACCTGCTGATTGGGGCTTGGTACGCCCTTGTATTATTGGTTTCTGGAATTAGAAAGACAACTCTCCCGGAGAAAACAGCAATCCTGCGGATAGGGCTGTAATCAAATTGACTCATACTCCCAATACTGGCCCTGAGCAATAAAACGCTTCAAGTAGGACAAGGATAACTCGAGTTCAGATCCTGGATCGCAAACGTCAAGGGTATCTTTGGAGCCGGACGTTCTCCTTCAGTCCCTTCAGCATCCCATAGGAGAAAATGGAAAGGACATTTCCGTGCTCTTTCCGGGAAAGGCCGCTCTCAAACGGGAATAAATAAAATGCTTTCTAGTGCCAGGCTTCCATCTCCCATAGATGTCACCTGGTTCCGGGTGAAAGACGCCTGCTTTTGAAAGAAAGAATTCGCTTTATGTTTACCTGCAACAGGGCTGTTGAAGTCCTGCAGAGACAAAATTCATTCGCTTAACTGGGTTAGCAATCGCACGGGTTATGGATGGAAAAAAGTGCAACACACCAGTTCTAGAGAAGAACACGATTTAATAGAAACGGCCGAATGGGAGCCGTTTGTGAATCGTGGCCATCTGTTTCGCGCATGGCCTCGAAGTAACCGAGCGAAACATACAAAAAAGTTAACGAGGATGGTGGGAAGTGAGAAAGAAGGGCGTTTGCAAAAATGCAGTCGGAGGCGAAGCGAGAGAAGTTGAAAGGCGGCAGAAGGGCTTTACAGGAGATTGTTACTCCAGGGGTTTCTGTTGCAGCAGAGAGCCATCACTTCTTGCAGGGGCTCAAATTTGACCCGGGCCATTTAACGACCCGCCTCAGGAAGAGGGCAAGAGGGCCGGCCCGGGCTTGAGAGGACTTCTGCCAAAATAAAACATAAAATAAAAATCCTGAGCGCCGGACCGGCTGGTCGAGCAAGCCCAGGGCAACCAAGAGGCCGAGGGAGGGAGGGAGGGGAGGAAGCGGAGCGCGAGGCGGCGCTCGGAGCGGGGCTGTCCGGGCTTCGCAGTCCAGGAGCGCGAGCGGCGGGTCTGTTTTGCGCGCGCCAACACACGTGACGCGCTGTCCGCGCTATAAAAGCTCCTGGCGCTCGCCCGGGCGGCTCAGTGCCTGCGCGACGTTCCGGCCGGCGTGAGCTTCGCGCGAAGGCGGTGGCTTCCCCCACCCTTTCTGTCCCGTCCCCCCATCCTTTCGCTCCCTCCCTGTCCCTGTCCCTGTCCCCGCCCGGGGCCACCCGCCACCCCTGGCCCAGTCCCCTCCCCTCCCCTCCCGCCACTCCCCCTCTGCCCCCTCCCCCGGCCGCCCTGCCCTCCGGAAAGGAGAGAAGCGCCCGGGAGCGCCTGTTGCTCTCGGCCCGGCCTCCTCGGGCTCCTCCTCCCTCGCTCCGCCGCTAGGGGGTGGCCTAGCCGAGCAGCCCGACCCGGAGGCAGAAGCAGTCGGCCAGAGCAGCGGCGGCGGCGGCGGCGGCGGCACCATCATGACCCTGGGCTGCAGCAGCGGGAGCAGCCGGCCCTGCGGCTTGCTGGCGGCCCCCTCGCCGGAGGAGGACGAGGAGGACGAGGCCCTGTCCGACCTGGAGGATGCCGACATCGACGTGGTGGGGCCCCCCCACGAGCACGGGCAGGCCAAGTTCAGCGAGGAGGAGGAGGACGAGGACGAGGAAGAGGACGAGCTGCGCCTCCTCCCCAAACAGGCGGTGCGGGTGAGGCTGTCGCCAGTCCAGCGAGGAGGCCCGGAGGCCACGCTGGGCGACAATCACGTCGCTGCAGCGGCTCCGGCGGCTCCGGCGGGGTCTCCGGGGTCGGCGGCCGCCTCGGTGTCCGCCTCGTCCTCGTCCTCGTCCTCGTCGGGCGGCGCTTCGGGGGCGGGCAAAAACCCCCTGGTGAAGCCGCCCTACTCCTACATCGCGCTCATCACCATGGCCATCTTGCAGAGCCCCAAGAAGCGGCTGACGCTGAGCGAGATCTGCGAGTTCATCAGCGGCCGCTTCCCCTACTACCGCGAGAAGTTCCCGGCCTGGCAGAACTCCATCCGCCACAACCTGTCGCTCAACGACTGTTTCGTCAAGATCCCTCGCGAGCCGGGCAACCCGGGGAAGGGCAACTACTGGACTCTGGACCCGGAGTCCGCAGACATGTTCGACAACGGCTCCTTCCTGCGCCGGAGGAAGCGCTTCAAGAGGCAGCAGCAGCAGCTCCACCCGCAGCCGCCCGAGCTCCTCTTGCGCGCCGCCGCCGCCGCCGCCGCCACCGACCCGGCGGCTTTCCTGCCGGGTTTCGCCTACGGACCTTACGGCTACAACTACGGGCTGCAGCTGCAGAGTTTCCACCACCACCACCATCACCACCACCACCCGGTGGCCGCCGGCGGAGGGACGGCGGGGACTTTTTCCTTCCAGACTTCGTCCTGCACCCTGCCTCCTCCGCCGCCGCCGGGCCCTGGGGCCACCACGGCGACCGCCCCGTCCGTCTTCTCCGGCGGACTCTCCTCTTTCCTGGGAGGCGACCTAAGTTGCAGGAAAGCTTTCTACCCGGCGGGGCAGCTTAGCCCTACCGCTTCCCTCCTCCAGAGCCTCAAGGCGGACCAGGGAGCAGGCAACAGGCCTTCTTTTTCCATAGACAATATCATCGGGGGCGGCGGCGCGGCCCCTCCGCCTTCCAGTAGCTCCACGGTCAGCGCCACAGATTCGCCCTTCCCGGCGGGCCATGCCGGGAGCCAAGCGCAGGTCCTGGCTATGTTGTCTCCAGCTCTGACTCCCTTACCGAACCATTTGAGCCTCACCCACGAATCGCTCCTGCAATCGGGACAAAACTTTTCCAGTAAACTCACAAACCTCAACAACTGTCCTTTTTAAAGGCAGCCACAGTTGACCCCCCCCTTCCCAATCGACAACACCCCCCCCCCTCCTATCTATCTCTCCCCCTATTGTCCTCTCTTTGTGTTTTGAAAGGTAGGAATTTTTTTTTTTTTTTTTGGGGGGTGACTGGCATCTGGATCGTTTTGTGTATGTGTGTTTGTGTGTGTGTGTGCGCGCGCGCGCGCTTGTATATCTCCTCCGGGGATTGTGGTTTAGCAAATGGCGGGGGTATGTGAGTAGGGGGAGAGAACATTGTTGAGCCAAAAGACCTATTTAAAAATTAGTCTTTCTTATGAAATGATTTCTGACAACTTGGGGGGTGGGGGTGGAAGCAAAAGTAAAATCATTTAATTAGGGCTGCAGTCCTAAGCTGCCCAAGTGGTGCTTTTTTTTTAGTTGGATTCCTTGGAATGCCCTGGATCCATTGGCAGCTCGGTTCTTCTGGGGTAACTGCCTTATACTCTGTAAAGTTACCCCATTCAATTTAAGTCTCTCAGAGTGGGGTCCTTTGTGCAGTAGAATGCAGATTCCCCAGGCAATTGGGTCTGTCGAAAGGTCTGTTCCAAGCATATAACTTTAAGCTGGTAATGGTGGGTTTTTGGAGGGCAAAACGCATTGCGTTCTGTATGTGCTCCCAGGGGTGCCTCGGATAGCAACCTTACTGTGTGTCTGTGTGTGTGGGGATGCACTTGTGAGACTTTGCATTTAAACTGTTTCCCCGAATGGTCCCGGGTTGTCTGTACTTTTCCCATTTTTGAAGGAAGGTTTTAAAAATTTCCCTTGGGCACCCTTAATGGTTCAATGTTTCCTAAAAATGTATAAATCAATTTATGTTTTTACAGGAGATTTGAAATAGGTATCTCAATACATATCTCTAAAGATTAGGCCATATCAGCAAATCCTCTGTTATCGAAACTCCCGCCTCTCTACCCCTTCAGTATGTGTGTGTGTGTGTGCGCGCGCGCATGTGTGTATGTGTGTTCAGTGTATCCAGACTCCTTGGCGTGTATACATTGTGCACCAGAGCTACTTCGGCTCTCTTCCCACTAGTTGTGTTTCCCTATTTTATTGAAAGAATTGTGAATAATTAGATGTGGAAAAGGCAACACGTTTTTTTTTGTCCACCTCCGCTGTAAATTAATAAATGTCTGTGAACTCTCTTAAAAGGAAACCCAGTGGGTCTTGCTACTTGCTCTTGTAGTTTTCTTTAAAAAAAAATATTATGTTAATATTGGATCTTTGGAAGTGAAAAAAAAACCCTGCAGAGTGGGCAAATTTATTTGGGTAACGTTAAAAGGGCAATGTTAAAAGCAGCGCCTTCAACTTTGCAGTAGAAAAGGCAAGTCACTCTCAAAATCTAAGAGGCCCCACTCCCAGACCCCCTAACTAAAGGCTTCCTTCTGAGCAGAGGTACATATTGGATTGTACACTTTGTATATCAACCCATCCTAATCCCGGTCTTAAAATATATATCTCTTGGATTGATGTACTAGACTACAGACAACAATTAAAGCCCCAGGGTTCAGCTGCTGTTTTGAGCGGAAATATGATCTATTCTAACCAATAAATGTTTCCCATTAAGTAGATCAAGATAAAGTGAGCCAGATGAATATTTGTAGCCTACCAACGAAACCTAGATTTTTCCAACAAGATTAGAACTCTTCCTTCCTTGCCTATTAATGAACTTTTAAATTAGTTTACTGCTACTGCGCCTTCTAGGTCTTTTAAAGTTGGCTTGTAAACCTAAAATATTATTTTTATTTATAAGAAGTTGTGGCATTATTTTTTTTTTGAGGTCACACGTGGCAATTAAGCTCTTGTTTCCCAAAATTACTTGAAGTTCCCAGGCGGTTCTGACTTAATAGAGGAAAATGGTACTCCCACTCCCCTTTTTTGTTTTAGTTGGAAATCTTGACACATGGGAGGAGGAGGGGTAGTGGTGGTGGAGAAGGAAAAATGTAAGTTTGTTCTTTCTGAGCCGAAAAGGGTCGAAGTGACCATTTGAAATCCGAGAACTCTGTCTAAATTTGTGAGTGAAAAAAGGCACAAAATAAACAGACTCTTTCTTAGCCAACCGATGCCCTGAAATCTCTTTATATTTTGGGGCAAATTGGAAAATGTGGGGCTTTGTTTGAACAAAATGCTCCCCTAATCTCTCAGGCAGCAATGTCAGGTTTTGTTTTTTTTTAAAAAATCATTATTATCGAATGACCCTGAATAAGTGAATAAACCAACCCACTCACCCCTCCCTCTAATTTAAAATATTCATTTACTGGCTTTTTTGTGGCTCTAATAGATTCTCCCCTGGAGAAGAGTCGGTGAAGGCAGAGGTAAATGAGGAGAAGTTGGTGGGTGGGTGGCTTTCTATCTGGGGAGGGAGGAAATTAACAGAAGAGAGAGAGGATTCTTGTAGCATTTTCCATCTGTCTCTCAATGCAGAAGCGACCCCCTCCTTGCCAGCCTTCCCGAGTTTGTTGATGTTCCTTGAAAAGAGTCTGGCCCTCCCTGCTGGCCCAGCGAGAGGTCTCCCCCCACCCCGCATTTGCTTTTGAAAAGGGATCCCCTGTCAGACACTTGGTCCTTGCCTTTCATGTCCAGTCCCTACAAAGGGGCTACAAGGCAAGACATGGAAAGGTGTGGGGAGGGGGAGAAAAGAGAGGCAAAATGAATCTATTTTCCAGATTGCTGAGCACATGGTTACAAATGGAAAGAGCTTTGGGATTTTTTCTGTTGATCTGGGAAGGGGGGGCTTCTCTCTCCCTCCCTCCCTCCCTCTCTCCCCCACCCCTCCAATCTATCCAAATTGTAAACTACTGTGCCAAACACTGTCCACGGAGAGTTCTGGGCACCCATTTCCAGTTGAATTCTGGAAAATGGGAGAAGCAAACAGCTCTGAAGTTTTTAACTTCTCTCTCTCTCTCTCTCTCTCTCTGTGTGTGTGTGTATGTGTGTGTGTGTGTGTGTGTGAGAGAGAGAGAGAGAGAGAGAGACTAGACTGTAAAAAGAGGGAGTGAGAATAAGAAAGCCTTCAGCACAAGCGCCCCATTTTGGAGAATAGGCAAAAGTTAGGGCTGCAGCTGATAGGGAAGTGCAGTTAGGATTCATCAATCATGTAAAGTCAATTCCAAAAATCAATTTCTTGAGTAAAACAAGAAAAGCGGTAAGGTCCGCTGAAGTGCTCGGCTTTCTGCTTTTCGACAAACCCGACCTTAAAGGCCTAAACTTTCAAATAAACCGCATCGAACCGTAGCGGGCGGTAAGCTTTCTTGGAAGCAAATCCCACCGAAACCCAGGGGAAGGGGGGTCGGCGCAATCCTAGCCACGTTTAACACCATCTCCCTGATTCACTTAAAGGCGGTACCTGCGGTTGCAGCTTCCTCAGAGGTGTCACGGTTTGTTTCAGTTTGTATCGGGTACTCATTTCCAAGCTTACGGCCGAAGCGGCCGCGGTTCCCCCGCAGAAGGGAAGAGATCTCCGATCTTGTCTGTCCGAATTTCGGAAGCGTTCCTAAGGGAGTCCCACAGACCTGGCGTGGAGAGGCTATCCTAGGGCGCGCGCTCGCGTTTGATTTAATGTTGGGAGAGCTACAGAAACTAAAACTTGCCGTCCCCTTTCAAAACTAGGAGAAGGCGCGGAGTTCGAGGGCTAAAAGGTCTATCAATGACGTCTAAGCTGCTTATTTCAGAACTTCGGTCCGCAGCTGTTGCAAAGTAAGGTGCCTGCAAAATTGACTGCGGCACTGAGATCCTCTGGCTTGCGTCTCTGGCAAAACTACACGCCGCGAACGCCTCTCTCTGGCTTCTCGTGGCTTTCTCCCTTCCGCTCGAAAGGAACGCGTTGAGTTGCGCTATATGGAAAAGGCTCGAGTCTAACTCACTTGGGATCTTGAGGCGATTCAGACCACGCTGTTTTTATCTTAGGGATAGAATGGTGTTGATTCCCTCCCCGCCTCTCCATTCCCGAATCTGGCATTTTCATAGAAGCTATTTTAAAAAAAAATTTTTTTAAAAATATCCATTGTTAAAGAGGGAAGGCAAGGTTGGCGTGGGGATGGGGGTGGGGGTGGTGGGGGAGAGGTGGGCTTTAGTTGGATCCATCGCCTTCGGTTGGAATCGGATCACAATCCAAATGTAGTCAGGAGGATCTGTAATTTTTTTCCCCCCTGCTGGAGTTCAGTTTTTAATCGCGTCTCCTTTTTATGCTGCTGAGTCAGCCCAAAACAGGCTCTGAGGATCCTATTCCTCCCTAAAGCTGGGCCTTGTCTACCAAAACGCCCCTTAGTGGAGTGCTTCTAATGTCCTCTCTCTCTCTCTCTCTCTCTCTCTCTCTCTCTCTCTCTCTCTCTCTCTCTCTCTCTCTCTCTCTCTCTCTCTCTCTCTCAAAAAAGTAAGAAAGGGGGACATCTGGAACTTGTCATTGTGGAGGCACTCGTTAGCAGCTTGTTTTCCCTGGGGCAGAAGGAGGAAGTGATTTTATGAAGGACTGACGCGTGTCTTGATTTCTTGCGTGATGGGCTTTTTCCCCCCTCTCTTCGTTTTCTCCTCAGTGGTTCAATTCAAGTGTGGCAGAGGTTTCTGCAGTCAGGGGGTCCCATTGACCTAAAAAAAACCAGAAACGCCTTCCCAGTGAGGGGACTTGCCCAGGAAGAGAAAGAGCTTTGCATCTCTCCTAGGCAAACAACAATAGTTTGGCATTTACAAGGGTAATAAGGAAGAAGGGAAGGAAGCCGTGTGTCCCCCCCCCTCCCCGCCCTGTCCAAATTGGTTTTGAACTCTTTCTTTCCACTCCATCTGAACCTAAGCCAGGACAGAATGCTTGGGGGGGGACTGGTTTTCCTAGGGGGCCCTCAGATAATGGCATGTACCCGAATATATATATATATATATATATATATATCAAAAATTTCTTTAAATTGTGTGTTTTTCACTGTTTTTATATATATATATATATATATATATATTTGTGGGGCACAGATTCACCATTGGAGGCTTGAGGT